ATCAATTCTGGCCCACTTTCATTGGCTATATGATTTAACCTACAAATTCTGACATGACCTGTGACCACAACATTTGATGGAGTGCCTCTTCCAGCCACCACCTGCTGGGACACAATGATCAACATCTGAGTCCTACCTTCTAGTGCTAATTCTGAGGGAGAGTCTCAGAGCAGAAACTAAGGTGACAGCCTTCTTAGTGGTGAACCTCCAACTGTGGAATGGTCTCCCCACTGAGGCCTCCTGGCACCAACCTTAGCATCCTTCTGGATCCAGGTGAAGACAACCTTCTATGCAGAAACTTTCAAGACCTCCAAGAATATTTGAGGCTTGAGGGAAATACCATTCCAGGAGTTTTACAGATCTACTCTGTATCATCTATTGTTTTAGCTATTTTTAGCTATTTTTGGAATTTGGAAATTTTCATTATGTTTTATTGTATTGTCTATTACTAGACTGTTGTAAACTGACCAGAAAACTTCAGCTATTGAGCAGTACAGATTGAATAAATAAATAGAATGTTATGCTCATTTATCTTGCAAAGCATTAGGGGAGGTAGCTTTTGCTTTTTTCACATTTACATAATGTAACATACTGTTTCCTTTGCGTCAAGCATTTTCTATCTATTGCGCACATATGGTTTGTGATCCCTATAAAGAAATTAATCTCCTAAAGCAGTGGTAGAGAATGTGGGGCCCTCTTATTGTTGCCGGACTCTGAACTCCCCACAGTCCCGACCAGCATGGGGAATGTGCATGATTGGTGAGAGTTGTACTTGAGCAACATCTGGAAGGCCACATGTTCACAACTGCCGAAAGGTGTATGAAGTGATGTTGATTCATCTTATGGAGGATTTATTTCATAGACTAAATTCTAAATATATGTGAAAAGCACCTGCCCATTTATTCAGCTAAATATCAGTTCCCAAAGGCTTGTAGTAGGTAGTGACAAACCAAAAATGCACTATTTATGCACTCTAAAGTAACATAAAACTGAAATAAATTGGCTCCTTGTCCCTTTGAGGAAGTGTCTAGTATTTTGCTGTGCCAAACCAGGGACAGGAGCTGCTCATATGAAGCTTTCTTTTATCATATCTACACATTCAGTGCAAAGGGAATTAAAGTGAGTCTCCCACTAAGACAGCCTCATACTCTTGCTGCTGCTCTTGTTATCACATATTTTTAAGCATACAGTGCAAAGGCCATCTCCATAGTAAATCCCATCTGCTCCTCTTGTGCTTTGAGAATATAACAGTCAAGGACATGTTTACATGAGTCAGCCCATTGTTTGATGTTTTAGCATTCTGGGAAGTCACTTATTTGTTTATTTATTTATTTATATCCTGCCTTTTTCCTACAAAGGGCTGTTCCTTCATCAGAATGACATACATATCCTCTACAGAAGAATTGAGCAAATCAAGATGGGATTCATTAATGCACTTTTTTGCCAGTTTTGCATTATATGCAAGATCACTTCATATTTTATTGCCTTCCCATTCTTTGAGAGTCTTTGATGGCATCTAAGCAGTTCCTACAATGCAGAATGCATCAGTTTCTCTGTTTCTTTCTTTTTTTTCTTTTCATTGTATACTGTCTCTTCGACTGATACAAACACAATAAATCTGTATTGCCTGCTTTATTTTTTATTTTCCTTAGATGCTGCTACTCATTATGGCTCTTTCCTCTGTTTTCTCATAACACTGACTCCCTTGCACTAATTCAATGGCATTTCTTGTAATGAAAGAGCCCTCTTGTGGCAGCTTTCCTTCACTATACACAATCCAATCGTCAAGATTTATGTGGTTCATAAACTTCTCCTGAAATTACTAGATGGTTTAAAAGTCCTTGCTTTGGGTTGAAAACACTCTATAGCAGCTTCAGATCAGCACATGTCTGGAATTTGCTTCGTAAAGCAACACAACCACTAAGCTCTTGATTCCCTTCTGCGTATTCTCCCTGGTCCCCCTCCATTTCTGGCTTCTTAACTTCTCCTCTAGGGGAGTCAATGGAACTAGTCAATAACAGTTCTGCAAAAAAGCACATTAATCACGCTCATTGTAGAAATACTTTAAGCAAAAGTGTTCATTGTTTTCAAATTAGAGTAGTGAGTATATAGTTGTTGTTATTGCTTTTATTAAATTCCTTCTTTCTGGACCTGTTTAAAACATATATCTAAATGAAATTCCATTAAAAAATAACAATGCTTTATTGGTCAATGGGAAAAATGCCCTATACTTTGTCACACATTTGTTGTATGACCAACTATGAATTTTGGATACTTTTTTCATAGATCAGTACACTATTTTTGTTTTGCAAGATTTTTTTTTAAAGAAAACACATATTTAGATTGTCGGGGCAGAATCTACCACCGGAAAAAGATTATTTTCTACCACCTGAAAAGAAGCTTTGCTTTCTGAAGTTTCCATTACCTCCAGCCACTAGGAATATGTATTTTTGTTGGGAACAAGAAGTAGATCTAGGTTATATGTTGTCTTTATGTTTTTACAATAGTGGTCAGTCCTTCTCTTAAGGGCTGATATAATCTGATATTTGCAACACCTGTGACTAATTAGAGAATTTAAAAATGTTTTCAACTATAATGTAGCCTCTAATCTTCATTTTGAGATTGGGTCTAATGGCTAATATCTGGGCTTAAAAAAAATCCACCTATCCTAATGAAGATTTCTGCAGGACTCAAAAGTAGGCATAATATTTTCTGAAATTTTGATTTGTTTTAATAAAGGTCTTGCCCAAGAATAGCATTGAAGTTACCCCATCAGTGCAAATAGGATCGCCCCAAAGTGAAATCACTGCCATTTTGTTTCACCACAAAGTGAAATCACTTTTGTGTGCCAAGCAGTGCACAACCAAACCCCTTCCAAGAGAGAGACTTGTCTGCGAAGAACATAGGATGGTTCAGATTAACCCAGATCTGAGGCTACAGACAGTGCTAGGAGAGGGAAATCACACCTCCTCTTGTACTCCATCTGCTTGCAGCTGGAATGGAAAGAACCATCCTGGCTGTGCTCTGAGGTGAGAAAAGTGACCTCAGAGAGTATTTTAGGAGACTGTGGTGGGGGGGTGGGGGGAGAGACTGGGACAGTCATGATACAATATCTTCTGATGGTGGTCCTTTGCTCCTCATCTGAGCATCAGTACCTGGCAGAAAGCATCTGTGTGACAAAAACGCAGAATGGGAAGGTGAAGATTCTTTCTGTTGTTCTCCTTGCTTTGTATTGGATGAGCATGAGTGAGTCTCTGTGTTTGGATGTTCTTACTCACCTGAATTAAGTTGTACCCTAAATTATATAGAAATGTTTCTCAAATGAGTTGTTTTAAGAAATAGAGATACAGTCTGAGGGGAAGCCATGAAAGACTCACATAATCATCCTTTTAGTTGAATTTTATCTCAAGAAAAGTCTTTCATCTCACTCTTAAAAATTCCAGAAGGTTGGAAGACACTTGAAAACACTTCTATATTCCTCATGATGGAACTTTCTAGGAAGGCTCAGATATGGAGGCAACTTAAATCTTTTTCTTGCCTACAGTGAAGAACAAGTTGGCATGATGGGATCCTCTATGTAGAATTCAACTGGTCTGGAAATTGAATCTTGGAAAGAAAATATCTCCATCTGAGAGCCGCAGCATTTAATTTTCTGAGACACAGTGATGAAGCAGAGTAGGGTTTGCAGAGATACTGTGCTGGCAGTTTCTTAGCAGCGACAGTAATATCATCTGCCATCACTAACTCCCTGTTTTCTCCCAGCTTATGTGTATGGATAGTTTTTTCATCCATTGGTTCATGTTAGACTGCAAAGTATTTTGGCATCCATTGGTGGCAATTGAGACCCCTTAACTGTACAATACACCTACTCCTAGTGAATGAAAACTGTTTGGTTGATATAGATCAATGCAACTGTCTGAACTTGTGGACGCACCGTAGTAGTGTAGTTACAGGGACTATCACGGCAAGCTTCAAAATGTACTGCTACACCACTGGTGCTCCGTAGAAATGACAGAGCTGCTTCACTACTTGAATGGGCATTTCCTAAGGCGGACAAGTCACTGTGCGTGATGGTAGGGCTAGATAAGATGCCATGTCATTATTCTTCCTTGCCCTGTATGTGTCGATCTTCATGTACCACTGTGTAACCCACTGTTACATTACTATGAAGCACATCCATATGTTCCAGTTATGTCGCTTTCTTCTGGCCCTGTAAGGTACATGGAAGATTTGCTCATTCGCTTTTCCATGTTGTCCAAGAAAAGCCATCTACAGATTCTCTCCTGAGCTTGTGCATCAAGCTTTGAATTACTTTTCATTTACTTTCACTCTGTGAAACTCACTAAGGTAAAATTTGGGAATAGATATATTTTAAGGATATCCACTTAGGATGCTGTTACATATCTCAGGTCCAACTTAGTCAAGTGTCCACCTGAATACTTCCATCACTTCCACCTTTGATAGAGCATTCTTTCACCGAAATTGAAAGTTCAATCTTTTGCTGAAAAAACAAATACAGATGGTAAGTGGATACATTTCTCCCTTTCAGCTGCAATTAGGGCTGGGAGTTACCACATGGAGCTGTGAATGGTACACTTTGTGACCTGTTGCCATCATCAGTATACTCAGTCCTAAAAACTTAGGCCACCCTTCACTGTATCATTTTACGGTATAGGCTTAACATTTTTAAGGTAAACCCCTAAAAATGTAAAGTGTGAATAGGGTGAGCATATGTGGATCCCATAATTCCAAAATTCATGGAATCAAGATGGGCTGTGACTCTTTATTCAGTCAGTGAAAAAATCTAGCTAGGCTCTCATGTCGTTTGCAAAATTGTCTTAACTTGCTAGCACTGAACTTTAGGACTGGGCTCCTATTTTCAGAGACTTTAAATGGTCTAGAATTTTACCATTTCAAGTATGAATGTTGTGCAAGTGTGAATGCTGTATGTCCTTCAGGTTCTTCAACCCCTTTTTTCCTGTCTGTCTTTTCTAATGCAGATGCTCCACAACAAGCATGTGATGGTCCGTGTAGGAGGAGGCTGGGAGACATTTGCAGGGTACTTGCTGAAACACGACCCGTGCCGAATGCTGCAGATCTCTCGGGTGGACGGGAAAACATCCCCAATCCAGAACAAGTCTCCAACCATCAAGGACATGAATCCAGACAGCTACTTGGTTGTTTCTGCCCATTACAAAACCAAAAAGGAGATTAAGTGAAATTGCTTTCTCATTTCACTGGGGACTGTCATTGGGGATGTAAGCCCACACTATCTTCTTGAGTGTAGTCAAATTAGTTGGTGCTTTTACAGGACTTCTGAAAATCACATGCAGACTGGAAATGGCAAGTCTTTGTGGATTGTTGAACTGTAGAACTATTTATTTCTAGTACTGTGCCTTTTTATAGCAAGTTACTCTTGATAGGCTAATTACTACAATCAGATAAAAATAGACATATATTTTTAGCCAAATTATTACTCTATGAATGTATTCTTAGAATGACTTAAACAATATGACTCACATTAAAGTAATAAAATGTGATATATGGGTATGAAAAACTTCTGTGATTGCCCAGTCCAGAGTTGTGTGTAGCTCAGTGGGAAGGCACATGCTTTGCATGAAGGAAGTCCCAGGTTCGATCTGAGCTAAAAATAGATGACGAAGTAGGGAAGGCTCCCTGCCCTATGTGTTGGGAAGCTACAGCTAGTTATAGTAGATGATGTTTGCGTAGATAATCAGACCTAGTAACAGGTCTGTCTTCTGTTCTGATCCAAGGTGAGCTCCTATGCTTGCAGGCTGCCTTTCGTTAGGAGAGACTTCATCTGAATGAGACGTCTCTTACAGATGGGATACCTTAGTGACAGCCCCATGCCTATTAGTACTTGCCAGATGAGGGTGGCAGCATGCTTGATCTGAGATAAAAAGAAAATGCCAATTATGTGGAACCTGGTAGAAGACACCAGCTCCTTTTAACGTGCGTATCAATGACAGAACTCGTTTGTCTTCTGAGTTGCAGCTTTACCCAACCAGTAAAATAAATCCTGCCTGGATTAATTAGTGTTAAAAAAACCCCACACAAGACACCCACCACCACAGATTGTAAGCTATAGTAACGCTTACTGCTGGAATGTGCTTTAGATTTAGATGTGAATGCAATAATGGGAAGTGTTGGTGTTCTGTTCTGCTTCCCACATACATGCCATGGTTCAGTAGTCAGAATATAATACTGTGGTAACCCCAGGACAGCTGTAAATGCCTTGGTGTAATTCACAGCTGAGCTCTGGCTTTCTAAATACTGCCAGAGTACATGAGCTGCTGATTTAATCTAGGAAATTAAAATTGGTTAGGAGGTGTTCCTCCTAAATCCTTTTTGCTGTCTAGATCTTAGTTTTTGCTCCAGGAAAAACGTACGTTCTTGTTTTTTCCTCTGTTGGTCTTGCATCATTGAACAAATATCTAAAGGGAAAGACAAGTTGGATCAGTAAAACATTACAGGAAAAAGGTTTAAGCATCTTTTTCTTTGTGTTGCTTCTCCAGATAAGTTGTCCCACTCAATCCATATGTCTACATTAAGTTAAAAAAGAACACATTAGGAAATTGATCTCAGATCTTCCAGTGTAATGGGAAGTTCACTCCACAAAGTTGTAGGATTTTTGTCACTGTAGTCATAGCAAATTATAGGGTTGATTCTAACTTGTTCATTCTTAGATTCATTAGGAGAAGGTGATGAAGTAGAAATTTCTGCCACTTGTTTTCCTTTGCAAGTCCCAGTATCACCTCCTATACTGTTCAGGACAGTCACATCCCTATGGAGCAATTTTTCAGGTGGCACAGAGCTAATGGTTGGAAGAAGCACCAAATTTCTGCTGAAGATAATGCTGCAGCCATACCTCTGCAGACCTGTATCTGTTGTGAATGCAAGGCTACATGCTCACTAAATAATCTCATGTTTTATGTGGCCTGACTTTGCATTTGGAGAATAAAGCAAACCTGATAAAATAATGCAAAGGCCTTGTTTTGGAAAGTAGATTCAGCTTCAACTTCTATAGTAAGCATGTCCAAACATTGCCGTCCCTTGCATTTCTTGGTGTCATTAGACTATAGAGGTACCTCTTGCCTGATTGCTCCAAAATGGCATTACACGGATAATTTGGGAGAGGGCCTACCTGGAGCCAGCTGCAGGCTGCTCTGCAATGTACCTTTTAAGCGGCAGACCTATGGATGCATCCTGTCTATGAGTCCACACACATTACTGTAAACACTGACAGAATTAAATCTATCTTCAGAAAGCCAGAGGTGTGCAGGTGGTGAGTCAGAAGGTAACAGCAGTTGACTTGGTCAATGCCCAAGCCATGGCTGTGCCAGGAGGAATGTTCAAGTGGATGGAATCCAGATGGTTCCAACACATCAAAATGTTTTGGAGCATCCCCAGATATTTCACAGCTTTACATTGTCATTACAGGTGCATGTTTATTCATGGCTCTTTTTCCTTTTAAGTCTTAAAGACACTATCGAGCAATTTCTATGTCCCAAAAGAGGTGCAAGCAAGCAATTTATTAGACTAGGTTGAAACATTCTGCTGGCTCCCTGCAGTTCTGTGAGGCACTTCTGTTTAAGACCATGGGTAAAGGCAAATCAAAGTCTTTTAACACAGTAGTCTTGCCTTTCAAACTTTAGAGGAGGATCCCATTGCCTGTAGTATATCACTCAAGGGCCTGCTCTTTGGGTGCTTGTTAGCTGCCGTTAGATGTGACGTTATCTTCCCACATGTTGTGACTAAAGAGGACAGCATAGCTTAAGGCAGTTATGGACATGTTTGGAAAGATATTCCACCATGTGATGGTGGGATAAGTCTCTGGATTCGGCAGTGTGTTTTGAGCATATTGAATAAAATATATTGTGCATTCTTTGTAGATAGATGTTGGGGACAAGGGGTTAAGTTACACAACTTCATGATATATAGGAGTGGTAGGGTTTGGTTTGTAGGTTTTGCTAATTTTCTTTGTCTATACTTGATAACTTTTGTGCCTTGCTAGAAAAAAAAAATCATTGTTCGAGAATTATTTGAATGATGACTGTATAAATTTGAGCTGAAGTCACATGGTGCATTAGAAATAAACAGATACTTTAAAATGCTTTTACAAACTCTTTATTCTTAGCAACACAATGATCTTACAAACAAATATGCTGAAATCCATTGCACAGGCCTAACAGATGTTTGTAACCATTTAGAAACTGTATTTCCATCAACATGAATGTCAGTTTGATCAGTGCCCATAAAAAGAATTGTTACTTGTTGCGACAGTATGCATCTTTAACCACTATAACTTCACTCCAACAGCGGCTGATGCAAGCTGGAACCTCTACGCAAGGTGAAGTTGCATTTTTCTGCTTCACATTAGGGCAAACTCCACTCACACATAATGAAGGCTCTCAATAAAATACATCATAATATCATCAGACACCTTAGGATGGTGTAAAGCAACTTGCCTAAACATGGTGCGCTTTGTACACAGAACCTGGAAAAACAAGATCTACCAAAAGAGTTTGGCAGAATTCCATGAACATGTACCTTGTCTGAGCCCTGTGACTGAAAAATATGGTCCGTGCACAGCTTACATGTGAACTTTTTTTAGCTTTTCATAACAATGGGAGAAGAATTTCATGTGCTGCAAACTGTCTAAACAGAGGTTATTTTCTGAAAATAGTGACCACTAGAGTTCTTTGTAAAGTGGGGCAAGGGGAAAGGTCTCATACCAACTGATTGGGCTGTGTACACTCCAAAAGAGTTCTTTATTATGGCCTCACCCGAGCCTTTGTGAGCGTGGCTACATTCACTGCTTAGCAACCTTTTTCATGTGTGCAAGTCACATTTTGGGCAGGCAGTGATCAGAACAGATATTGTGGGATCTAAGTTATAATTCAGAAGATCTGCTCCTGAAAATATATCTGAAGACATATTCTTTTGAATTAAAACCATCTGTACTATTTTCAGTCAAAAGCAAACAGCAAAATTATATCAAAGGCACATTTCCAGAACTTCTCTATAACCCTGCAACTTGTTACAGAAAAACACATTCTTTGACCACAATATCCACATTACTTTGATTTCCAGAGTGTGAAGTAATCAGGCCTTTGAAGTATGACAACTCTATTCCTGTAAGAACCATACATCACTGAAATGCTGAGCTTATTGGTGAATTTCTCAAAAGAACACATCTAAAGGTAATGCACCCATGAATGCAAAAGTGCTTACAAACAGCAGTCAAACAAACAAATCCCCTTTCCTAAATGTTCACATAACAGCGGAAGCACAGTCCACTTCAGCTTGGCACTTTAATATCAACAGTGCTTGGCACCATCCTCTGAAGACTATGCATTACTAGAGATTCCAAGTGTTATTCCGAGTTACTGGTTCATTGGTGTTACAGCAGTAAAAAGCAGTAAGACATCACGGCATGAATGCCAGCAACATGAACACCCATCATCCGGTCCGAGGTATCTGTATTTGACAACAAGGCCACAAACCTTTTGCATTGTATGATTAACATAACCAGACTACAAAACAAAAATGAATGATAATGTATGCAAGAGTTGGACTCTGTTGGAAGGTACAACAAAAGCAGCACATGGTAATACTGACTAAAAGGGAGGTTATCATAAGCCAGTCTTTTTCCTTCCCAAACTGGGTCAAATGCATCACTGCAAACTTTAAAAAAAAACCAGGACTGTTATTTTATTGCAGTGAAGAAGGTCATCTCATTCCAATTAAAATGCCTAAAACACTAGACGAATTTAGTTTGCATACAGTATAGCTAATGAAACTCAAAGCACAGTAGGTATTTCATTAAAAATTACATTACTGCAATGTTTCAAGCTAGAAACCAAGGAATATACTTTATACTAAAGGTTAACTTGGCAGAATGTTGAAAGCTTTACAGCTGTATGCAGGTTATTTTGTCTTAGTGGAATATTTCATTGTTGGACTTTTTAAAAGATCACTATTCACAATGCTCTGGGATGAGCAAAGTTAGAAAGTTAAGATACGGAAAGCTAATTGGGCACTTTTCACATACAGAAAGAGAGAGAAAGTGAGATAAAATGTGCATAAAGTACAGCTTTTGTTTTATATATGTTCCCCTTCCCCCTTTTAAAGACACGAACTATGTCATTTTGGAGACAAATGCAGAACTATAGGACAGAGAAGAACCCTGTTAGCCAGTGGTGTCCAATCCGCTTGTAGATACAGTTTCCAAATGCACTGGCTGATAAACAACACAAGTCAGACATTTCTGCTGTATAGTCAATTCACATCACCCAGTATGCACAGACAAACATACACCAAGAGAGAGAAAACTGCAGTTGGGTGAATAACAATCACATACTCCAAATGCTATCTCCCATCAGGAAAAAGAGAGGAAGCCAAATAAATTAAGTGCATTTACTTTGGCAGAATATTGTAAAGCTATTCTTATGCCAGGCAAATTTGCAAAAGTCAGGTTTCTCCAACTATTTCCAGGATTTAGGGAGAATTTAGACACTTATTTTTGGAGAGAAAATTTCCACAAAGTAGTCAAGTCCCTGTAGATGTGGTTCTGTAGTTTCTTCTTTTCAAATGTGCACTCCTCTGAGAAAAGAAATGTGGCTGTCTGTGGTAATTTTTCTTAGCAGAAATTGTTACAGTCCATCATCCATGCTTGCTTGTATTTCTCTATGCACAACACACAAATAGCACTTACAAGAATAAAGCCACAATTTCTCATCTCAGGGCAGTGTCTCACTTAAATATATGAATTCACCCCTATAAGGCACAAAAGCTTTCTCTCAGACAAGCCTGCTGGTTTCAGCAGGTTTAGCTCAGAGCAAAAGATCTGGGACTGTGGCATTAATCTTAAATGTAGGACAAGAGGGAGTGGGGGAAGTAAAGATGTATCTAGGGACATGTTTGAAAGCAGAACCTTTTTCTATAATCAGGGAATATAAATGAAGGCTCTGCCCACAACTGCACCCCAGAATATGTTAAGACATGCAAAATTAAACAGTATGGCAGCGTAACAAGGACGTGACTGGTTTTGGCCAACTCTGCTGTACTTTATGAGGTTTTGGTTTGACAATATCCTTAGTGCACATCTTTAATCTGGCCCACTATTAGTGGCAAGTACTGCTGCGCCGTCCGATGCAAACAACAGCAAAAGCCAAACAAGGAACAAGTGTCACTCAGCTGCAGGAACTGGCAAGGTACGGGCAGTAGGACGGTCACCCTTGCTTCCATTCTGGAGCGGCTCGTACAGTTATCCAACTTGCCACTGGGAACAAGACAAGCACAAAAAGTTCAGGAGGTGATTTACATTCACAGTACTGCTTGACACAGCAAGTGTTTTATTCAATTCCTGCATAAAACCATATGCTTATTCTTTCCTGGCTGATTCACCAGCTCTTTAAGGGTAGCCTTTAAATTATGCCTATAAATTAAAATTTCCCTATGTAAAAAGATTAATGAAAAACAGTAGCAATAATCATTTCTCAAGCAGGAGCTACTCTGACTCTATGCACAAGTAGTGAGGGCAAATGGCCCTTTGTCCAAGTCCTGCAGGAAGGAGTTTCTCCTCCCAAGTGAATGAGACACAGGCAGAGAGAGATTGAAAAACATTGGTCTATATCAATATTTTACTCTTTTAGCATTTGAATTTGGTGTGTGTATTTGGTATATACCATTTTGAACAATTTCAGACCATCATAATACATATAACTCTTGACGATCACAAGAATAAATTACTAGGAAAAGTCTACATGTTAAGATAAATGCAATGTTTTCATGGTTAACAACTGCAACTTCCCATTTTTTAATGGTTATGTGAATCCATCTTGCTCCTCTCTGAATGGCAGGTTAGGGGCCTTTAGATTTTAAGTGGAATTGCAAAGCATTAACTAAACAATGAAAGAGGGTTGAGTTCTTTGTGCAAAAGGTCTACATAACACATCATTTCAGAAGACCCAGATGTTCTGAAAAATAGAGGGAACCACTCCACAGAGAGTCAAAGGATTGATCCAAGAACTATTGTTTTAAGATGGAGGAAAATTACACTTCTGAATCTTTGATAAATATGTCTAAGTAATCCAAGACCGGTTGCCTGGAAACAGCAACAAAAGAGTGTTATTGCCCTCTTGTTTGACTGGGAGGTCTAACAGGCATCTGGTTGGCCATTGTGCCCCCCATAAGATAATGGTCTTAGATCAGGGTGAGCTACATGAAGCACCCCAGTGCATCCTCCACCAAAATATGGGGTTACCATATATATTTACTGCCTCTACTGCAAACAAAATGGTCTTCAGAACTGTTGCAGAGATGCAGAAAGTCAAAATTAGCTTGAAAACAGTCAAATGCAGACCCATTGGACACTCTGTACCAGCTTTGAACACTATAATGTTTTAGTGTTCATTTAATTCCTTCCATTTTCAGGATCCAGGGGACAAATGCAGCCCTCAGACTTCCTGATTTTCCCACTTCAAGGATAGAGAACCTGGTGCCCCCTGAATGTTTAGAATATAACACACGCCAGAGCCAGTGGTAAGGAAATTGGTAACTTTCGTCCAAACCTTCTGAAGGGCACTAAGTTGCCTACTCCAAGATGGGCCTTTTGCTCTGATCTAGCAGGACTGTACTTATGGTCTTACTCTTAGCCCGCCTCCTTCTGGGCCAGGACCTGAAGATTCAAGACGTTTCTCCATTTCTTCCTGTTTCCTTTTCTTCTGTTCCACAGATGATGGATTCTTAATCCCACGTGAAGCAGACTTTGGAAAAGGAAGTTTGCACACAAAAAACATTACAGACTAGTTCTTCCTACATAATCACAACACACACATTTCGGCATTTCTTTTCTTTTTTCTTTTTGGTGAAGTTCAAGTCTGGGCAAAGCTGACCTTACACATTTATACTAAATTCATGTAATCTCAAACAGGCTTGTGACAGTGTCTAGGTGTGCAAGCACTGGGCCGTACTAATGTATCCACACTCCAACTGCCTGCACTAGGCCTGGAACTAGATCTTTGAAAGCTTTGGCCCTGCTTTTTTTGGGTGTGGGTAGGGACAAAAAAAAAGAAACAAAGTCTGCCGGGGAATCAAAGCAGATACAAAGTATGTTTGAGTGTATCTATATAATATAAAGTGGCAGACGGTTTCCTTACATTCGTCTACCCTTTTCAGACTTTTACTGTCACCCAAAATGTTGTTGAAGCTCCCATTGGCCAATTCTTTCCTCTAGAATGCTCAAGTGGAAATGGCGGAGTATTCTTCTCATTCCGATACTGCGTAGGACAAAAGCAGCCAATGGGGCTACAGGTTTTGGAGCTCTGAATCTACTTTGGGTAGTGACAAACATTTTTCCCCATTTAAAGGAAGAAAACCCTCTGCCCTCTTGTATTTGAACAGGAAAGCCTTCCCAAAATGGGTAAAATTCCTTCTCATGTGAGTGCCATCAACCTTTAAATGGGTGTGGCTGAAGATTTCATGCTCAACTCTATCTGGAACACAGGGAGGAATAACCCTGCAAATGCTGGATTTTGTGGTCAAGAATCCTGTGATGCACTTCTGTGCCACCACCACCCATAAGACACCAAGACATCAACAGAATGGCGGCAAGAACCACATCCAAGGGGTCAAGATAATATAAATCAGGAAGAGCTTCAGTTCCAACTCTACCGTCTTCATTGTAGCTCCAAGCACACACTACGAGCAGCATTTTTTGCTTAGCTTTGGTCAGCCTTATATGGTGGGTTGTAATGTGGGTTGTAATGTCTAAATCTGCCCTGACAGGGAACTACAGATCCTGGCGGTTCTGTCGAATTCGAATATGGGAAAAATGGTATCTCTGAATCTGTAGATATTCAGCATATTATAGTTGAAGATGTAAGACAGAACTAGTGGCCTCCCACTTGCTGGGTCTGCAACTCCCATCACTGGTCACCATGGGCTATTAGGGCTGATGAGAGCTGGAGGGACTTTGTTGCCCACCTAGGAACACTCACAGAAAACAGCCTTCAGTGGTACCGGTTTGCACACCACCGGGAAAAAGCTCAGCTGACAACTTTGCAAAGTCTTCCTTACCTTTTTTTTTATTATTACTTCTAGGCACAAGCTTTTATCACACACCTGACATCTAGAAATTCTTAATCAATATTAATGAAATTAGAGGCCTACAGCCATAGTATTAGCTGCAAGTTTGGACGGCAGCAAAATCTAGAACAAAGCCAACAGTGATAGTATTATTATGATCAATGCTGCACATTCTGAAGAGATGTGATTTCCAAATAACATCCATCCATCTATGTCCATTATGCAAGACAATATATTAGCAAATCTATATGCCGAGCACCCAATTACCTCCATTTGCCTTTTTTCTGCAGCTTCTGCGAGTTGCCGTCTTCTCATTTCCTACAGAAAATATAAAAAGGAACCAATTAAAAAGCTATTTCAAAAATTTTTACTGGGGGAAAGGGATCTTTACAGCACAGGAAAGTATTTCAAAATGTTAGCACTGAAATGCCAGTTCTGCCCACAAGTTCTAGATGTCAATTTAAGACCTGAGCACTTCTTGTTTCTACAGCCCTGGGTTCTCTTCTCTGCCAAGCAGTAAAAGAAGTTCACTTTCTCAGTAGCTGCACATACAACAAGCCTTGCAAAGTGCTGCAAGAATTGGGGATGGGGAAATTGCAAACCCTTAACAGATACTGTTAGTGGCTTCAGCTCTGTCTCTTAACTTCTACCCAAGTAACCTGGTTAAAAAAAGAGGGATTTTTTTTTTCAGCTTAGAAAATAGGCAAATAAGGGGAGATGTGGCACAGGTACAAAATGGTGCAGAGAAAGCAGGTAGGGAAACATTTTCCTTCCTCTCTCACAGTATTAGAACCCATGAAGCTGATGGATGGGAGATTCAGGACAGATGGAAGGAAGTACTTCACACAGTGCATAGTTAAACTATGGAATTCACTTCCATGAAATGCAGTGATGGCCACCCATTTGGATGGCTTTAAAAGGGGAGTAGAAAAATTCATGGAGGAAACAACCATCCGTAGGTACCAGTCTTGCTGACTATATGCTGTCTGCAGTATCAGAGAGTATGCCTATGTACATTATAATCTCTATTTGGGCATTCCCAAGAGAGCCATTCAGGTGAGGCGCCTTAATGTGAAAAGCAGAAAGTGTGCGGAGGACTCAGTCTCATGCACTGCCCAGTACCTCTTCATGTACCAGCTCCTGCATTTCAACTGCACACCATTCATTTGAAGAACATTCAACCAGAGCCACTGGGAATTTCCTTTCACACAGAAAGTCAGGAGTTGCATGAAACTCAGGAGTTGGGGATGATGCATGCAGATACCAGGGCTGTAAACATTTGGTACCCTCAGATGTTCAGATTGCAAGCCTGAGTGAGAAGATTACTGCCAGCATAACAAGTGGAAGCTTCATTTGGGAATTGAAACATTATTATTCTTACTATGAACACATTTTAAATTCTTATTTTCCTAACTGTAAGCATGCACACAAGCGGTTTTCTAATTTTGCTTGCTATCTCCACAGAAAAATAATATCTACTAGTTAATGGGCAAATTGGCATGGAGTTTAAATCAACCAAATTTCCTTATGTTGTGGACAAAGGACTGAATGGAAGAACAGACATTGTTAAAGAAGTGGTTACCACTGGGCACTTCTGTGCCAAGAGAATTGGGAAGGTGTCCAGCTTCCCTTTCCTCTTGCATAGCATGCAAACAAAATAGGATCAGATAGCAACTTTATATCCTGGATGGATGCTGCTGCTGTGGCCAGAACACCTCTCCAACCCCAAAAATCAATTGGACTAGATACAATCCCAGAAATCCAGCTGTAAAGCTGTCAACATTAAGAATGACCCTCTGAACACAAGCTTGCGTATTGTATTGCTTTACCATTTAATTTTAGCTGGTGTGTTCTCAAGAAAATAAAATTGCTTTCAATGAAGTTTGTTTCTTGCCTATTTTCTTCTGCGAACACTTACATATCAACTCTACCCCAGCATGTATGTGGGTGCTGGAATTATAGGGCAATTAAAAGGGCCATAAAAGAGAATTAAGCATGAAATCCTGTGCATCTTTAGAAACAAAAATGTCCTACAATCTGGACATGGCTGGCTGGGGCATGCTGGGAACTGTAGGACCTTCTTCTGCCTAAACATATATAGGATTGTGCTCTTGCATTGGGAAATAAAGTCAGCATTCTCAAAGAGTGACTTCTATTTGGGCAGCTTTGTATGTTGCTCCAGTGACCCAATATTCCAAACATACTTGTGAGCAGATAAACTGGGAAGGAATAGACAGCTTGCTTCTGAAATTTAAAAAAGAAACACAAAAACAAAACACTGTGGTTTTAAGCATAATCCGCTTACTCACAAAGGATCAACCCAGTTATGTTCAGCTTTGCTTTCGTATATGCAAGATGGTAGTGTTCTTATTTTAAAGAAATAAGTTCTACAGGAGAACCAAATTATCATCATCATCAAATCGGTTCTGTTGTATACTGTTCAGTCATAGAAGATCACTGTTAACATTCGTTCATACATTTAGTGGGGTGGAAGAAGACACAAAACCTCTTTCCTTCACCTGATAATGTAGACCAAGTCCTTCCATGGGAAATGCTACAGAAGTCTGATTAGCAAGGTGGAGCAGTTTGAGGGGAGCAGGGAAAGACTCTTCCCACTCATTCACCACACTATCTCAACACTGCTGTTGCATGTACACATGCCGCAGCCACGAAAGCAAAACTAAATCATTGAAGCAAATTTATTGTTGCAGAAACTTTCGGTGGATTGGACCCAGACCATGTTAGTCACCTTTTCTGCCTTATTGCATTACATGAGGTCCTTTAAAGATCATTGTGAAAATTGGTTCTGTCTAGCATCAGTCCCATTGATTTCAATGGAAACAAGACCTATGTTCTTAGCACAAAGTTCCACTGGCCTCAGGAGGGCAGTTGAGACACATAAAATTATGCTCCGACTAACTTAAGTCCTGCTCTAGTATTGTAAACACGGACATGTTGAAAACCCTACATTAATAGAAGCAGCTCTCTTTGGACGGAGGTTAAACATTTCCTCAATAGGAAGTACTGCTGGTCCATGATGCACCCTAGGCAAGGCTAACCCCATGCAGTTCTGCTGGACCCTTCACACATTCAGGATCCAAAAGCACATGATATCTGAACGGAGCCACAACCCAGTAGGTGAAACCTTTATCACTGGATACTGAGACTTCCAGTCTTACTTCAGAGTTACCCTGAGAGTGAGATTTACTTCTTCTGAGAAAAGATGCCAGAGATTGTGTCATCTACACATCCCAGACCCTTCTCATTTAGTTATTTTTTATTTAAAACATTTGTATGCCACCCTATCACGCCAGCACAAAGCAACTGCGTCACTGCTACTTCTAAAGCATTTTCAGCACTGCAAAAATATCTCCTGTATCTCTGATAAACAGTGCTAATACTAGAAAAATAAATGACCTTTTACTGAGGGGCTTCTGCATCTCATGCTTTGTTTTACCTCATGCAAATATTTTGGAAACACAGGACTACTAGCATGCTGTCTCCTTGGGCATAGTTGACTTGCAAGTTTTAGGAACAATTTTTTCCCAACTCTTCCATTGCATCGACCAGCAAGCCAAAAATAAAACTGTACAAAGCCACTTCTACCAGGGAGTAAACTCTACTACAATCAATGGGATTAACTTCCAGATAAGTAGCACAGGATCAGGCCAAGCACGTGGGTTTATCTTGCGTTTATTTTACGGTTGCAATCCTATAGTCACCGACCTGGGAGTAAATTCTATTGAATTCAATGGGGCTGTTTTCTGATACGCGAGTGCAGGCAGTAGTAAAAAGGTCTGTTTGTCATATGTGGTTCTTGCTTTATATTTTATCCATCTGTTAATAAGGAAAGGAAGCGGGGATGATAGGAAGAAGCAAAGCGCAGCTTGAGAGAATCAAGCACACGAAGTGCGAACATTTGTTTTCCCCCCTGCCAGGAAAGGAGGGCCAAAGCGGCTCTCCGGGGAGGCGAGCAGGTCGTCGCAGCCGCGGCAGCCAACAGCAAGAAGCCCGCGGGGCCAAGGGCGAAGACGAGCGGCCGCCGCGCCCGGCACCCGCGCCGCGCAAGCCTCGGGCTCCCCGCAACGAGGGGGCCGCCCGCACTCACTGGGTCCGGCGTCTCCACCACGGTGTCGGCCGCTCCCCCCAGGCATGGCAGGCAGAGCCCCATCCCGGCCCCGCCAGCCCCGGCCGGGGAACGTCAAGTCCTCCGCAGGAGCAGAAGCCGCGGTCACCGCCCCGCCCGCCGGCCGCCCTTTGACCACGCAGCCTCCTTCCGACGCTGCCCGCCGCGGGGCTGCCTTCCTGCGCAAGGCACGGACGGCGCCACCTGCCGCTCTGGAGCCGGAATTGGCCAGGGGAAGGGGAAAGAGAAGCGGGAGCGAGGGAAGGGAAGGGGAAGGGAGGGAAGGAAGGAAGGAGAAGTGAGCGCGAGCGATCCGTGCACTGGCCCCAAAAGGCAGAGGTGAAGGGAGAAGGGCCAAGAGCGCGCTTTCGCACCGGAGTTGTCGGCCTGTCCCGCTACTGCAACTCTGAACCGTTCGCTTTGTACTACCAGCTGAGACGCGCCTCGCAATGTTTACTCGAAAGACGGCGCCATTGAATTCGGGAGACTGGAGCCCTTAAAGTGGCTATACGGTACCCCAGGGCCAGCCTCCCTGAATGGCAGCGAGGCTTGCACCTGAGTAAGGGTAGAGGACGGCGCTTTTGGGCTGCCATCGCGTGCACCCGCTCACCTGCATGCGCGGAGCTCTGTAGGTCTTCTGCGTAGACAGGTTGGCAGGTACAGTGAATGCTCTAGGAGGCAGACCAGCACATCGCATGCTTTCGCCTCTTCCACTGGGCTGGCCTGATAAAGTCTTCTTCATTGAAGGCTGGCTGGAGAATGCTGGGAGTTGTAGGACTTTTATATTGCGTTTGAACGTGCACAGGCTCGTGCCGTTAATGATATAAGAAGGGGAAGGTAGAACGGGATTTTTGACTCTCATAGAAATCCCTGATCTTACAGAAAATCAACAGGGTGTATCTTAGAATTATTTCTGTCTTTTCTGAAGTAGGACTGGATTTCATGGTGCAGATGTATATTTTTATGTCAGGAAACTCCTGCACTCCTCTCTATGAAAATTCCCAAATCCAAATTGAAACATTTTAAAGAATTGTTATGGCATAGCATTTAAACTAGTAAATTTAATATAATTGGAAGCCTTGAGGTTCACATGTTTGTATAGTTGTGTAGGGAGCAAGAACTGGCATACATTAAATGAGCAAGATTAATACACTACTCCCCTACCTTAAGGAGAATCACTTTAAAAACAAGCAGGCAGACATGGAAATGCTGGACTGACTAATTCCTAGTAAAAATACACCAATGTCTTACATGCAGATAAATGCAGCATCAATTCTGCAAGTCCTTGATAAAGTGCATCAGGGCCTAAGGGTGTTTTGAATCACCTGCAAAAATGAAACTGTGCAGATACCAATACTGTGCCAACCACATTGGTTGCTAACTCCAGTTTGAAGTGCTGTTTTTAACCTTTGAAGCCTGGAAAGGTTTGGGACCAAGTTACAGTGCCTTACAGAATTATTTATTCTCACGCCTTTAACTTGTCCACATTCTGTTGTGTTACAACATTGAATTTTGTTGGCATTGTTACTGCTGGATGAATACAAGATTCTTAACTCTATGAAAGTGAATAATAGTTACTGTATTGTGGCACAAAAGTTAGGTAATCCAAACAAAGTATCATTTGTGTGCTTTTGATCCCTCATTTTGATCCCAAATTCCTGGGGTTTTTTTCTGCTATACTGGAGCTGTGAAACAGTGCCACCCCGTGGTTGCTTAATGGAATGTATGGAAAGGCAGAGAGACAAAACAGTTCCCTTCCACCATCAAACATGTAAAGGGTGTGTTCTTCCTCCAGAAAATAAAATGGAAGAAGCAAACTCAGTATGGTTGCATGTTTGGTGCCTCATGTGTGCACAGAAACTGTGTGCACAACAGTAACTTATAAGATGCTTCAGAGTTGCTGAAAAGATATTGATTCCTTTCATCTTTAGGGTCTTCCTCAGTCATCAGTTGTTGCTTGCAGTGATATCAAATAATAAGAATGGGAAAAGTAAAGATAACAGAGAATCCGCCCGGAATAGTTCATTAGGGGCCCATCAAGGAAAAATAATACTCCATAGAAGCTTTGTGCAGTGCCTGAGGATAATACCACAGTTACAACTTGCACTCTTTCCAAGGAATTGCACTTGATGAAGAGTAAAGCTTCTCCCAGCTCTAGCTTCTTGATTTGCAATAATGACAATTACTTAGATGGAAAAATGACTGAGCACTATAATGCTTCACCCAATTACCTCATGATATGGATGAAAAGATTGCTTTCCCCTTTATGTGTCTCTGTGTGTGATGTGTTTAAATTGCAATTTGAGTGGCCTTGCAGCAAACTGAAATTGAAAGAAAGTCTCTATATAAATAATAGCCAATCAGTGCAGACAGGCTTAAGAACTGATATAAGCCTTCAGTATCCACTTCAGAGTGGGAAAGAGGATATTTCAATTTCAATTTCAATTTAAAGTGGTTTCTAAGAGATCATGATTCACTTGTTGTGTCAAACCTCTTCTAAATATCTAGAATTTGTGGGAACCTGGAAAATAAGACAGTAGCAGTGAAACAGGATTTAGAATGACTTGTTGAAAGGCTATTGATTATCTAAAGACAGATGAGGAGTATCTAAGGCCTCCATTTCAACCTGATAATATCAACATGCACATCTGGATTCCAAATGCAAATGTGGAATTAGTTGAAATTAGCAGTACTCTAGTCCCCTCCCCACCCCATGCATCAAGGGGGCTGGATTACTGAAAAGATGGAGGGGGAATGGAAGAAGAAACAGCGGTCATTAGCTGTTTGACCCAGAGGGCCTGTGTGTATGGCATGACAGCCTTCCATAGCTTAAATTTACCCATGCGGACTGTTGCATCATGGAACCCAGGCAGCATTGTTTGAGGATTGTCTGACCTTAAATAGCCCCGGCAGCAGCCTGGGTTCGTACAGCATGACAAGTCAAGGCAAATGGGGTATCCATGGACTTCATTACACAATTGACCCTACATGTAAATTAAGCCATAGTGGGATGTCAGGTTGTGCAAACCAGCTCAGAGTCTTTGCCCATTTCTTTTGAGTGACGTTCGATATCTACTAGTGCCAAGTTATTCTAACCCTTTGCCATCTTTCCACATACAATTAGAAAGCGAAATCCATTGACAGCCACTGAATTGTTTGTTTGAAAAAAGCTAAAGTAGACTGGCAGTTAATTTTAGACTGTTGAGGGTACAGATTTTAAGTTATATAATCGTCTTTCTTTGCCGGGGGCCCTGTACATACCCATTTTGTACAATTTCTAGTTTCCAAACATTCAGCATGTCCATCCCTTCATTCTGCAACTATGAAGGTAGCTGGGTGTGTTTCTCATGCTGGGGCACATCACTCAACTTTGTTAGTATATGTAACCTCGGCACTCCTCATGGACCTACAGAAAGTGAAATAAAGTGTACAAAAAGCAAGAAAAATGGTGAATGGATAAGAACTCCTGCTGAACCCACCATGAATTATGATATTTGGCTCATAACCTTCTGAGAGTTCAGTATCAATGCAGTTTGAAATATGTAAGTGAAAACGCAAATGCCCAAAAACCTTAAAACAATTAAATCAATACAGTGAAATATTACAATAGTTTCATGAAATCACTGCAGGTACTAATATTCAGTAAAGATGAGCTTAAAGATGTAAGTTCAGCCTTTGCTCTAGGTATGGTGACTGCTCAGCTTCGGCTTCTGTGGGAACCTCCTATCCTGATGCACCGCAAAATGCTGTATCTTGAGAAGTATGAACTGCTTAAAGGGTTTGGACATCTTTGTGCTGCAGTTCCTGGCAGTTCTCCATTGCTGGATTTTTCTTCCTTTCATTTTTTCTTCCAGTAACAACTTTGTTATGGCCTTGTATCTGATAGGTTGCTGGCAGGGAGGGAAGGGTCTTTACACTTTTTGTGTGTTTTAATTTTTAAAAAACTTTGGTTAACTGCCCCCCAACTATTGGGGGGGGCATAAAAATGGCAGGCAGGCAGGCAGAGAAAGGAAGGAAGGAAGGAAGGAAGGAAGGAAGGAAGGACGGAAGGAAGGAAGGTGGGTGGTCCTGCCTTGACAAATAGAAAATCCTATGGCCACTCAGAGACCTTAGGAGCCTTCCCTGTCTGCATCACAATTTAGATACTTTTAGTTGAGTTCTTTCAGTAATAGCATATTTAATGTGAGCATGGAGTCTTGGCTTCTTGAGAGAATTAATATCTAATAATTATTATCCATTTGATTGTCAATTTTCCTTTTGCTTTTGGCTGAATGCATTTGAATTTTACTTCTGCCAGGAACACTCAGACTACTCAACCTTTCAAAAACCATGTTGGAAATTATAATACTAAATCATGTTATAGTTCCATTTTATGAGAATGAGAAAATCAGAAGAGAAGAGGGATACTATCCTATAAACTGAGAATCAAGATTGTGTTCTGGGCAGAAAAAAAGAAAAATGAAATTGTTCTTGTGCTATAGAACAGACATATATGGACCATCCATAAATGCTTATATTAATTTGGATTTTATTTAAGGCAGTTTGCATTACTTTGCATTTCTAAATAGTCATGAAACCTTTTTGTCCACAAGAGTGTCTCCATTTATTTGAACAGAGGAAATTGATCTTTGTGTGTATTCTGTGGCCTGGGTTAGTCTGCTTCCACAATTTAGATTAACAGGATAATTGCCATCACTATTCCTGGTTGGAATTAATTAATTAATTAATTAATTAAGGGCACCATCTTAGGAATGCCGGTAAGTCTGTGAACTGGGAAGCTTCTTGGCATCCAGTGCATGAAGGAGAAGTAGGAAAGACGATCTTCAACTCCTATTCCTGCCACATTGCATTTTCATTAGATGAATGTTTTTGGACATATAGTGACAATGCTTCAATTCTGGCCACCCTTCTGCTTCCTTCCCACCCCCTTTGACCCCTTTCTAGTTGCCTTTCCAGTCTTAGAAAACAAATAGTGCAGTTCTTTCCATGCTGCCTCTGAAGGGGCGGGAAAGGGGCATGGGAGCGCTGATTCCCAGCATTGTGGTTGGAGCTTTGTTTCTGAATTCAGAACTGGAAATCGTAAAGCTACGTTACGATCCTGTTTCTAAGAGCCATA